AATAGGGAAGGGTGGAGGGGGTGAAGGGAGGGCTAGGAATGGAGAAAAAATAAGAACTAAGATGCATTATGTAAAGGTACAGTTCCCAATGAGAAATGTAATTGTGTTGTATACCTAAAACGTACCAATAAAAGAATTTAATAATAAAAAATTTCCCCAGAATTGCTTCCGCAGCCCTCTTTACTCTCCCTCTACACTCTCATCCTAGATAATACTAATCTGATAAGCAGCAATACGCTAATAGCTTCCAAAACTGTCTACAGTCCAAAACTGCAGTCCAAAACTCCTTTCACAGTCACACTCCACAATTCATATTTTCAGCTTCCCATTCTAATAACCCTCATCAAAGGTTGAAAGTTATCATTGACTTCTACCTACCACATCCACAGTCAATATCACTATTTATAAGTGTAAATATTTCATGAAATTGTCGCCCTTTCCAGTCCTTCACATCAATGTCTCTAAGTCCTCAAAACCTCACATCTGGACTTCTGCAAAAGTATCTTAACTTGTCTCCACATTTCCAGTCTTCACTATCTAAGACAACATAATACAAGCCAAAAGTGGCCATTCATTCTCCTACTTAAATGTTACAGTAAATTCCCATGTATTTTCTACCACAGACCGATGGAATCAGGCTCTCAGATGGTGGGATTCAGAAAAACATTTTTCTAACAGAATTCTTTGACTATTCTGCTAATTAGCCTGTTGGGAATCCACAAGCCTATGGAATGATGTCAAAGCCCTGTCACTCCCTCCAACACCCTGTTATGTTCCCTACCTCCTCTGCTGTCTTAGCACAGCAGTCCCCAACCTGACTGGTATCAGGGACCAATTTCACAGAACACAATTTTTCCAAAGGTGGGAGGTGGGTCGTTTCTTTTTTCAATTAGTGTATGCTTGTAATACATAATAATTACATTCCCCAGCACAAGCTTCGCCACCTCAGATCATCAGGCATTAGATTCTCATAAGGAGTGAACAACGTAGATCTCTGGCATGCACAGTTTACATTACAGTTCATACTCCTATGAGAATCTAATGCTGCCACTGACCTGATAGAAGACAGAGCCCAGGCAGTAACTCAAGCAATGAGAACCTGCTGTAAATACAGATGAAGCAGGGCTTGAGGCCCCTGCTTTAGCACACAGGTGTCAGTAGGCCAGACCAAACCACAGCAGTTTTCTCCTTATGCCTTATCCTGCCCTCTCAACCAGTTGATTCTGCACACACTGAAAGTACTTTGCCCTCCCCTTTATGACAAACTCCTGATTCTTCAAGCATCAACTCAAGGATAGAACATTTTCCTGGCTCTCCTTTGATTGTAACTCAGCCTAAAATACAAGAAACCTCATAAGCATATCTAAAGAGCATGGAAAAGAACCACTTGTTAAATTATAGTCTTTCAAAAGAATTAAACTTTAGAGCGCCTAGTACTATCAGTTATAATTGTAATACGAGCAGACAAATGTAGACATTACCTGTATTTCAGATCTAAAATAATTTAGCCTATTCACCTATGATGAATACAAAAATCTCATTTAGTGCCCTTAATTCAAAATAACTGAATGAAGATTAACAAACCAAAAACAGAAAGTATATACATGAATAAAGGAACTTATGATGCTGTCAACTGAAGGAGGTCTTTGGCGTTTGCTTGTAATTTTGTTCTGAAGAGCAGGAACTACAGGAGAAGGGTGTCTCAGGTGCTGAAAAATTTAAAAAAATAAATAAACACACATATACACTACACAAACACACATGTAGGTATCTACATAATATAACCTATATATATTATAGATATATAAGACTATTTCAGAAGTTCAAGTTGTTATTGTTTTTAATAAAATACATTTTACAAGAGTCTGAAATTCAACTACATAAGATCAAATATAATGGTTATGATAAACATAGATATCCTAATTAAAAGAATATGACATTCAGATTAGGATAAAAAAAAAATCAAACAACTGCAGCAATAGTATTCCAAATATAGAAAAGACAGCAAAAGTGAAAAAAATCATCTTAATAATAAAAGGGAAATAGAACAATACAAAAACATAATCCTTTTGCTGGAAACAATATAAATCAACCCTAAAATCTAGATTTTCTGGCACTAAGAGCATCATGGATGAGGAAATTTTCCAGATTACAGGAGGGCTCAATGTCTCTTTTAAACAATCATTCAGTAAATTTTAGTTGTAAATACTTATTATTTCTATCACCATAAACCCTGGGATGAGAAATCAAACAGCACAGCTGAGTCTATCAGAAATGGCTCATGGCAAAATAAATAAAAAATAGATGTCAGAAAACAGGAAGGCAGATTATGTGGAGATGGGAAGGGAATTGAGGGGGTGTAAAAAGGATCAAGATGTGTTACGTGTATGTACCAATTCCCCACAATGAATGTGGTATTTACTACATATGATAAACATATACTAATAAAAAAGGGGGAAATGAATAAAAACAGGAAAATACAAGAAAATGACTCATGTTGCTGGTCACTGCAGAGTAATCCTATTTATTACTGTGGGAGGTGAGGTAGAAAGATCACAAGTTCCAGCCCAGCCAGGGAAACTTGACAACTTAGTGAGATCCTAAGAGATTATGGGGTTGTAGATGAGCATGAAAGCCCTAGGTTGAATCCCCAGTACCACAAAAAAGAATAAGGAAAACCAGGAGGAAGAGTAGAAAAACAGAAGGAGGAAGAGGAGGAAGAGAAAGGAGAAGAAGAGGAAGAAAGAAATGGCTCATGTTATATGAGCCAGACGACATACTGAACAATATACCAAACCACATTCTAAATACACCAGACTAATCCACCAGTTAAAATGAAACTTTTTATAAATCCTGCCTTGAAGAAAAAATGTCACACCAATTCCTATAAATAATTTTCTTACATCAAATTGGGCCACACTTACATTACAGATAGGAATATTCAACATATAGTCTCCAGGCTAACTACACAAGAACACCTAAGGACAGCTATAAAATACAGATTCCTGGATATCCCTCAGAATCCTTGCAGATGGGAACTCAGGAATATTCATTTTTAACAAGCCCCCAATGGTACTTCTACACACAAATTTTTAAATGTAACTGAAATGTGAACAGGAGTGTGAACTGTATCCTGATGAGGGCCAATTGGCTATTTCTCAAGAAGAAACCTTTCTCTAGTAACTTGATTAATAACTTTGATTTGTGTACCTAACCCTCAACATCAAGCTTCTGTCTCAGAGACAAGAACTTCAAAATCACTCTATGGTGAAGTACCACCTTCTTTTTAAATTACCAATCTATCATAGATGACTGTGTAAAAGAGAGACTACATAAATGAAAATGATTTTTCAGGCACATAAAATTCAAGCCCAATATTTTTATTAGAATGAATAGACATAAAATTGCTGACAAGTTGTTATAAAAGTTTCCAAATACTATTTCTGTACTTAGCTTGTCATGAATTTCTTAGAAAAAACAGTTCACAGAGTACTACTAGTATATATATCACATTCTTTGGTTGCATTGCCAAAGACCACAGGAACAAGATTAAAAATGGCTGAAGTAAGTAAACCCACTACATTCATTCAGCAGAAAGTACCAATCCACAGGGTCTACACTTAGTAGAAAGACAGAACAAGGGAACACAAATAACACCTCCCTTTCTCCCTTTTTCTTACAATTCCACAGCCGTCTCAGTAAAGGTGAGATAAAGTGTGGGTTTGACTGACATTTTTGTCTGAAACTTACCTTAGTTTCTTCCCCAATCTTATTTTCTCTTTCATAGTGGTGCTGAAGTTGCAGGTTATGTTTTTCTTCTTCTTCTTTCTTCTTTCTTTCTACTTCTTTTCGTCTTTCTTCAGCTAACCGAATGAGCTCTTCATTTTTTAGCCTTTGCTTTAAATTAGAGAAAAATACACATTTCATATGTACATACTGGAGTACATTAAAAAATTGGCCAGTTTATTTGAATGATAGAGATAAAACTGAAAATACAGATGATATAATGGTCTTTAAAAATAAAATGTGGTCTGCTTAATAAATGTTAGACATATCTTGCAACATCTGTCAGCCCATAACTTTATTTGTGTGATACTGAGGATTTAATCGATGGCCTCAAGCCTGCTAGGCAAGTTTTCTGTCACTGAGTTATATCCTCAGCCCTTTTTATTTTTTATTTTGACCAAGGTATCACTAAGTTACCCAGGCTAACCTCAACTTGCAATCCCTCCTGCTTCAGCCTCCTGAGTAGTTGGGATTTTAGGCACATACTACCATTTTAGGCTTATTTTTTGGCTACTTATCTCTCTTCTTAAATTAGTTTTTCACGTCAGTAAAATAATATCCAGTGAACGAATATCAGTCTGATTTTTCTAAATGTACTTTAAGACCGTTATCCCTTATAAGTAACAGATACCTTTTCAAGTCAAAATGACAGATTTCAGACTAAATATTAAAAGAATAGAGAAAATATGTACCTCCTCCTCCTTCTCCCTTTTCTTCTCCTGTTCTTCTTCATACTCTTGCTGAATTCGTGCTCTCTGTTCTGCAAGCCGTTTTTCTTCTTTTTCTTCTTCAATTCTCAGTCTTTCTCGCTCTGCTTCCTCTCTTTGTTTCTTTTCCTCAATCTAAAGAATTAAGTTTAGTTATTTTGTAAAACTATTGAAAAATTAAAGTAACCTGGTATCCTACAAATTCAACATTTTACATTCTCTTTTCCAAGTTCCTAAAAATAAGTCCTTAAATTTTTTTCAGTGTCCTATAATTAAATATCACATACTATTAAAAGCCACAACTTAAATGTCAGCTCTATCAAATACAGACTGTGTAACCTTAAGAAACTTTCTTGTCCCCTGTTTTCCTATTGGGCAAGTTACTTATGTCTATATCCCAAAGGAGTACTTAAAGAATTAAAGTGAAACAATGTCTACGACTCTAAAAGTTCCTCCTATATAGGGGTACTCGTAAATAGTCATGATTTTATCATTCCATAATGATTGCTATTATTATAACTCAAAATTCTCGGACTTAGGCCAGGCGTGGTAGTGCATGCTTGTAGTCCCAGCACTTGGGGAGCTGATGCAAGAAGATTGCCAAGAGTTCAAGGCCAGCCTGTGCTACATAGTGAGTTCAAGGCCAGCGTGAGCTACATAAAGAAACCCTGTCTCAAAAAGAAAACAAAGAATTCCTGGACTTGATCAGTATTCTCAAACAGTGAAACTATATTTTAGTATTCAATCACTTTTTACATGAGAACCACTTCCCCAAAATGCTTGGTAAGTGAAAACTAAAACTGTAAGAATTGGAAGTACAGCTCCGTAGTAAAGTGCATGCTTAGTATATGTGAGGTCCTTGGTCCAATCCTTATGATAAGGGGGCGGGGAGGACACAGAGAGAGGAAGGAGACAGAGAGGGAGACAGAGACAGAGGAAGTAAGGAAGAGGAAGAGAAAAAGAAAAAAGGAGGAATGAAGGGAGGATGGGAGGGAGGGAGGGAGGAAAAAGAAATGAGAAAGAGAAAAGAACCAAATATATTATGGTGTAAGAGGACTTAAGACACAAGGATTCATGATAAAGTTTCATCCTGAGAGCTAAGACATGAAGGTAGAGGCCTAAGCGCGAGTCCATACCCTCCATGAAGGAGGCAGGCAAGATAGCAACATGTATACAAGGGATTCATGACACTGGTTAAAGGTTATCAATAGATTTATAACCCTTAGGTATGAATTACAGGTATTTATTGATATTATTTTTATTTTTCTTCTAGCTTCAAGGTTGCTCTATCTAGTGAAATCAATTTTTTGAGCAACAAAAACCTTAATTTTACATGTTCTATGATTTTAAAAATTAAACGTTTTCTAACACTTCTTACAATACTATTAAATATGCATAAGCCTAATATTTAGTGCTAAGTAGTATATAGACACTCAAGTACAATCCATCTAGAGAATGCTGGACATGGTGGCACACATCTATAATTCTAGCACTGGGGAGGCTGAGGCAAGAGGATTGCTGTGAGTTCGAGGCCAGCCTGGGCTACACAGTGAGTTCCAGGCTAGCCTGAACTGGATAGCGAGACTCTGTATCAAAAAAAAAAATAATAATATCTAGAGAAAACATCATCTATGATCCAACAAAACCTCATATTCAGCACTCAATTCCTCCTTCCTACATCATGAAAAAAAAATCATATAGGGTCACTTCTCCATCAAAATCAAGTAATATCAGTTTGTAAGTGATAATGAATCACACATGTAATAAATCTGCTATGGATTAGATCTAAAATGTTCCCTAGAAGTTTCACGTGTTTGGAAGGTATCATCCATTGAGTTCAAGAACTGAATGTGATGTTTAGGAGGCGGGGCCTGGTTAGAGGTGGGTCCCTGCAGTGTGACCTTGAAAAGTAATATTCCTCTGTCTGCCTGTCTCCCTTTCTTTCCCACCCCCCACCCCATTTCCTGGCTGTCATGAGTTAAATGGCTTTCCTCTGCCCAAACCCTTTCACCATGCTACTTCAAAGACAGCCAGCCAACCATGGACTAAAACCCTGAGCTAAAATAAACCTCTTCTCCTTTAAACTGTGGGTATTGAGTATTTTATCCCAGTGATGGGAAAGTGACAAATTCAAAATCCAAAGCTTAATATTAACAGGAATGCTAGATAGTAATTTAATACAAAGAGAAAAACTATCTTCTAGGTCATACTTTTTGAGCTATCAAACAAAAGTGCTTTAGGGGTCCTGAAAATATTTATTAAAATTTTTAATTTATTAGAATTTTAAAATTTATTTTAAAGTTGTGATTAAAAGCATTAAATACTAACAAGTATCATTTACCAAATTTTAACATAAAGACTTCTAGTGCATTAACTTGAGCTAACTGTATTACTTATTTGTATAGATCTTGGACTAAACCTTCTCTTGTCATCTTTATACACAAATTTGTGACATTTTAAAACATTTAACACTTAAGTTTTGGATACTTCTGATCTGAAAATATAATAGTAATAGTAATAATAA